GTGTGTGTGTGTGTGTGTGTGTGTGTATTCTGTGTTCAGGAGAAAACGTTAGAAAGCTGCTGTTGTGAAAAACCAGTTTTGAACTGTATAAATAAATAAAAAAAGCATACAGTAATACATTTCAAAAGGCTACGAAGTGTGGGCGGTGTGGAGAAACAAGACCGTAGCTGTGCAACTACTTACTTCCCCCAATATTTATCCATACACTGACTCTTACCGCCTGGTATGGACTTGATCCAACCAAAATAAGACTTGAAAGAAAGCTCCTAATGGATCTCAGCTGAAATCCTGAAATGCATTATTTTATTTTCTATGAGAGTAATATTTATTATACATGTTAATAGGTATACAACAGAAGTATAATAAAACATGCTATACTATAATCATCCTTTATTCATTTTTTTCTTTGCCTTTTTTTCCCCTGGAATCTCTGTATTAGATTCAGTTCTGTTTCTGCTTATTCCCATGGCTACTGTTGTGATTCTTGTTCTTATTCTTTTGGCTTCTGTATGGCCATGTAGGCTCTTCGGGAACCCAACCTTTTAATATGTGCACGTTTTTAAACTGAAGGAGAAGCTCTTCAATCTAGGGAAGAAGGGAACTGAGGGAAGGATGAAAAGTGAGTCTGTGACCTATTAGAGCAGGTCGTTCATCCACTTTCCAAAGAGGAGGATTGGGAAGACCAAAGGAGAAAATATTGGCCAGATTCTCACACCCCGAAACGATGTAAGCCACCGAGAATATGCTGGAATTGTCATGTGTGAACCTACCAGGCTAGGAACTGGAGATTTACAAGGGATTCAAATCCATCCCTGGAGTCAGCTCAGTGTTTGTTTAAAGGAAAGGTGAAAACAGAATCCCTTTAGCACTCACTTCTTCCAACTAGCTTTACTTTTAAAGAGGGTTGGAGGAATTGCCAGCTCCCAGCTTGATCCCCATATGAGTTTTGAGTTCTGAGCCGAGATCATATTCCTATCTTCTCAGGAGGAAGCCCCATTGAATTCAAGTTGCCCTTACTCTGAATAAACTGTGTGAAGGATGGAGAGCTTATGAGACTCCCTGAATGGAAAAACAGCCTTTCAGTTGCCATCCTAACTTTGTAAGCTGTTTTCTTCCAAGCTTTGGGAGTAAGGGAAAGCTTGTTACAAAGTCACTATGTTGTCAGATGGAGGAAAGAAAAGGAAGGAAGGAAAAGAGCAATTAACCCAGTTTCTGTGCTGAAGTAGTACAGCAATATTTTTATGAAAACAATGATTAGGACAAAGCTCTGTACTTTCGACCTCTGGATTTCAGTAGTAAAGCTCATACTTGGGCACGGAGGGGTTCATTTGTGCCCCTGTTCTGGCCCTTCAGGGCCAGGCTTCGGCTGCCCTGCGTGTTTTCTTCCCGAGTGTGGCAGGGCAGTGAGTTCATCTTCAGGGCAGCGAGTCCTGCCGTCTGACCTCAGAGGCATAGTAGCAACTAGACTTTCACTAGGCATTTGCCAACAGGGCGAAGCCCTCCACTAAACTAGCAATGTAGAATTGGGGGGGGGGGTCCATTCCTTCCAGGAAAGATGGATCGCCATTGTAAGGGCCAGAGAGTGGGCTATGCCCCTCCAGTAAAGGCTGGCACCTTCTTAGTTAAGGGGGTTGTGTGAATGGAACTGTTGGGCAAAACCCGGGCAATGAACTCTCATTTCCACCTGGGACAGAAGCTGTCACCATCTCCTAACTCAATCAAGAACACACCCAGAGAATATATGCAAGTGAAATAAAACACCAAACTCTTAGGACCACTTAATTAAGTCTTTTGTTGTAGCTGTTTAGCATTTATTGCTTCTTTCACTAACACCCGTTTCATCTCGTAAGGAAAGCTATCAGTGACATCCACCCCTTTGGACAGAATTTTTCCAGTGCCCGGAAGGGTGAATGAAGGCAACTGTGATTGTGATGAAGATAACAGGGTGTCCAATATTTATATTAAAATACACATTGATTTATACACACCTTTATATAACTAAACATATAGGCACAGTTGGCTTGAAAACTTTGGAATGTCATGCCACTGGTTTAGAATGAATCTCAGAGGGACCAGGGTTGGAGGAGGTTGTTGTCCAGGCCAAGATCCCATTGAAGTGCACCCCATGATAGCACGAAATCAATTGCAATTGGGGGCTTCATTGATCTGGGCCAAGGCAACCCAGTCAGAGAGACAGGACCACAATTGCTCTGTTCTGATCATTATTAAATTGGGATGGTGGATGAGAGGAAGGAATACAGGCACAGGCATTGAAGTGTATATGTCTGCATGCTCATACACCTCTCTCACACGATCCTACAAGTTCTTTTTAGCACCTGAAAATTCTTAGTCTAATTGATAGCTTTGAAAAGTTTGTGACTGCAGACTGCTCCCCCTACACCACCCTTGGGGGTGGGGGACACAAGAAAAACTAAACAAAACAAAACAAAAAAACCTAATGAAGTATAGCAATGGAGAAAGACTAAGGAATTATACCAGAGCGTTAAAACTTGCAGCATTCTATTAAATCCAGAAGTTGCAAACATTATCAAAAGCGCTTCCCAAAAGCTCGCCTTCCCCTTAGCACAAGGGAGATATTAAATATATTTCAAGTCTTTCCAAGAGTCCTTTTGAGCCGATAGTGGAAGATGTTCCCAACCACCCCAGGCCTGGATCAAGAAACGGCTTCCTTCAGTTTTGAAACAATTTTCTTGTCTTTGACTCGGCGGTTCTGAAACCAGATGGTGACCTGCCTCTCAGAGAGGTTGGTGGCTGCAGAAATCCGCCTCCGCTTGTCCTTGTTAATGAATTTATTCAGGGCATATTCGCTCTCCAGCTCCTTCAGCTGCAGCTTCGTGTAAGGCACCCGCTTCTTCCGCCCGCGCCGGTACACGCACAGATCTGGCTGGTTTAGTGCAACGTCCCCTGCGGGAGAAGAAGGGCAACAAGTGAGCTATCTCAGCTAAGAGCCGAGGGTGCCACAAAGTGAAGTGGGGGAGAGCTTTGGCCGCCGCCTCTTCTCCCTTCCCTTGGTGGTCTCTGAACAAGGGAAGGTGACCTTCCTTGTTCTCAGCAAGCACGTCAGCAACAAATAGGTGCCTGGCATAGGACGCTGTGCGCTCTGGGACAATTTCCACGCAGCCCCAGGAACCAAACCATGGATTCCTGAAGGCTGGCAACCTCTTTGAGTTTTAGGTCTCCACATTCCCAGCTGATCTGATTGGGAAAGAATAGCTGCAGAGGCTGGGAACATCCTCATCCCCCACCCCGGGAATAAATCCAGGGGGATAAGCTTAGGGCGACTTCCCAGGCCATCAGCGCAGGATCGGGCCACAGTGCTGATGCCTGCTGCAGCCCTGCGGCTAAGTAACTGCGTGAATTGGAGTGGATCTGACTCTGGGGGAAAAGTACTTAGTGATCCTTCCTCGTTAGTGATTTATCCTCTCTTAGGACAATTCCGCTATAATTTAGGGACCCTCTGGAATGCTGTCAGTCACTAGTGGGGAAACGGAGGCTGGAGTCTCTGCTTTAGGCCTGGCAGTCCAGTTCTGGCAGCTCGAGGGAACAGGGAGTCCCCACAGATTCTGAACAGGGGGCCACTGCTTCGCAGGCCTTCTGCGCTGAACTCAATGGGGAACAGGTTTAGTGACTGGTTTTAAAACCCTCCAGGGGAACTGAATAGGACTGGTAGTAAAA